CATCTCTGTGTTCTCAGCCTCAGCAAGCTGCATTTCTGTCCTCATGTTTTTGCATTTTTATTGTCCCCTGAAACAGTCTATAACCATGTTGAAATGCTTGCCTGTGCTATTGAAGTTTTTGTTAGTGCTCTGTTTATAAAGTTACATAAATTTTGAGTGGATTGTTCCTATTCTCTTTTTCCCATAAGACTATTTTGGTATGTAGTTTTACAGAATTCAGGGTTTTTCAAGGAAAACAGTTCTCTTAACAGCACCAACCCTCATTCCAGATATGTGGCTTTTTTGGTGGAATACTTTTAAAGGCCAATGGCCTCGGGGGTAGAGTGATATAAGAGGACTGAAGAGTGTGGAAGGCAGTACAACAACGAGAGGAAAAGGCATAAAAATTCTTGGGAAAGGACTAGAAAAGACTAAGGAGTCTACAGAGTCCAGTCATCTATAAGAGGAGAGGGTATCACCATTGCATTTGACTTTGTAAATCAATTTTTCGTGAAGTGCAGCATGGTGCTCATCACCCCAGAGCTATCTAGGGAGTTGTTATTAAAAATTCAAGTCGTGAGTCCCATCCCATATATTATCAATTAGAATCTCTGTGAGAGTCAAGTTTGAAATCTATATTTTTTAATATACTAAAATTTGATATCCACTACTGAGCCTTATTTAGTCCTCACTACTACCAGCTATTGTTTGAAGGCAGTGTGTAGGAAGGGGGTATCCTTAAAATCTTTGATTTAGTATACACATATATTGAATTCCTTTAGTGTCTTTATTTGTATAAGGCACTAAGACTTCTGAGGATCTGGTAGTGAAATCTTGGTGGTTGTCATGTTCTGAGTAAGGACACAAATATCATCACATATCCATTTCATATCTACCTTTGGTTCAGCAATGGAAGGGAGAATTTCACCTTTTAAGACAGTAAAGAGTGCTGGACCATGTAAGCAGCTTTGCTTCATTGGGTCACACGTGGATAAAACTGTCTCCCACCAGCACATACATTATCTTCCTTGAGTACTCACTGGATTTGGGATTGAAATTCTGGGTTCAGAGTTTTTGCTTGGTTTTATTCTTCTTTAGGTATGTTACTATCCAGAAATCATTTATTTTTTCTCATATAGCCTTAGACTCTGTATTATAATAGAAATATAAAACTTGTATTTTTATCCTGAAACATGCAAATTCATCATGGGATCAGATACAAAAATTTCTGTGAGAATTTGACATAAAATAGGAGAATTTCAAAGCAATTTTGTGGTGTAGTGTTTCTTTCAGGTATGGCTTTGAAAAATTTTAACTCCCAGCATTACCCCAACTCTGGGGAGGGTGTACATAATCACTTAGCTCTTCTGTTTGTGTGTTACTTTAGTCTGAGAAGAATTACATGGAGAAATTAAAAAGGAAATACCACAAAAATGGCTATGTGTAGGTTATAGCTTTTAATATAAGAAAATTAATTTTGTTTAGCTGATTATTTATTCAAGGGCAAATCTGCCCTACCTTTTGTTCTTAAGACCATCCCCTATGCTTTCTATAAAATCTTTTACTTGTATTTGGATTCTGAAATTGGTTTAAGAATGTTAGTTTAGGCTTTTGCTAAAATACCTTAATCTTGGGCCTCACCTTTTTTTAAAGTTAAGCAATCTTGGTAAATGTGTTCCATAGAATGTGGAATCTGGCCCTTATCCAGAAAGCTGCTATCTCTAAATTGAGCCCCCTCTGGACAGCTTGCTCAGTTTTTCCTTTACTCTACTTTAGAGAAATCTTGTAGTACTGTGCTTTGATACTTACAATCATCTGATTATTATGCCATGCCTTCTGAAAAGACATACTCTAGAACTAAAAGGTAGCTAACATCTATCAGGCTGCTTTAGCTTATTATGATGTTATTAGAGAAGACATACCATTTCTTGAGCAGTAAGAGCTTAATTAGTAGGAATAACTGTCAATATTTGAATTTTCATTGTTTTTTTTTTTTTAGGAATAGAGGTCATTAGTTATTCTTAGGAATAATAGAGATCTTTAGTTATTGTTAGGAATAACTAAGGTAGGATGAAATTCCTGGACCTTAAGCCTAAATAGAGGTCATTAGACCTCATTTGTAATATACCTTATGTTCATGTGGTACTCTACGTATCATCTTTCAACAAACCGTTAATGTGGCAGTTTTCATAGATTTAAGCATAGACCATTTTTTTCCAAGAATGTATGCAGATAAGCATCAGAGTACGTCATCTAAGTTGTCTTACTCTGGGGTTCATTTCAGTCATAAGATTGTCCTTTCCTTCATTATTATGGATGTATTTGTGGAAGTTTCTGTAGAAAAGAGTAGTTCATATGCTAGTTCTGTTTTTTAGTTGTATTTAAACACTGTCAACCTGATTGTTTTTTTTGGCCGGGGGGGGGGGAGTATTTTGTGTTAGTCTGAATAATGGAAATTTCAGCAGTAGAGGCCTAAAAGTTTTTTGTTGTTGTTGTTGTTTGTTTTGGTCTTTGTTACTGAGTGTTTAGCTTTTAAGACCATCTCCAGGTTTGAAGATTGTTAGGACCTATCCAGCTTGTAGTCACTATGGCTATGACTTACTACAGTGAAGATAATCATAATCATAATCAGGAAAGAGAAAAGGCTCTGGGGTAGGGAAAGTCCGGGGGGAGAGTCCTCTGCTAGTCACACAGGATGCACTTTATTCCTTCAACAGCAAATGATAGCACACTAGTGAAATGTTGTCTGCCAAGGAAGCATATTAGACCTTTCATACCCAAGGAGTTTATTGGATTTGGTTAGCCAAAATTTCAGACACCCAGTAGGGAAGCAGGTACTTAGCACAAAGCTATGCTGTATGTACAGGCTGCTTAAGCACAGTGAGCAACTCTTACCAGTTCAGGTTGTGGAAACCTTTCTGAAATCCAGGTTCCCTGATGTATCCTAAGGGTCAACTGTGTGCAAGTCTTCCTAAGGATAGCAGTCTCTAGGATGCTGCATTAACTTTTCTGAGCTTTTGACTGATTTCTTCCTGGTTATTATTACAGCATTTATTAAAGAATATATCACAGAAGGGTTTCAGGGTGCTTTAGATACCATACAGCAAGGTAAAATTAAGTAGATGATAAACCATGAGACATCTGAAGTGTCAAGCTTCTTGGGAAGTCTCTATAGTACCCATCCGCGTGAATATTTATTTAACCTTTGTACTTGAGTAGTTCTTGTAACCTTTGTACTTGAGTAGTTCTTGTATCTTTTATGATGATATTAGCCTTCTTGCATCCTTGAATCTGGTTGTAGCTTCCATTATAAGCAGACTCTTACCCCAGGTTAAATCTTGGTCATTGCCTTTTCTCTTAACTTCATCCAAGAGCTCTTGGTACTATAAACAAGGCAAAGTTAGTGTCCTACCTTGAACCTTTAATAGAAGAAAGCTTCTAAAGCCACATCTACTTACATTCTTTATTTCTGGTTCACACATCTGCTCATTTGCCGACCACTTGGATATCTAAAACTACATTATCCTTCTGTCTCAGTTCACCTTCTCTCTTAGCTGTTTAGTTGTTCCTAATGATTGAAATAATTGATACTTATTCATTATACTCTTACCCAGCTTGTGGCTACTAATTCCTGGACCACTGTACCATTTCTGTTGCTTCCCACACTTTTGTTTATAGTATCACCTCTCTATACCATTACCATCTCATTAAAAAAAAAAATACAGTTGGATTATGTTACTTTGTTGCTTAACAAAACCCCTAAGGACATGGATTGATAATGAAATACTAACATTAGACTTGTGGTGAATCTCTTTGAATCATTAAAGTGTTTTTGTAAGCCTGGATTTTAACACTTCGGTTTTTCTTAAAACAAATGAGAAACTGTCATCCCTGATGGTCTTTGAGGTGTATAGATTATTCATAAGATTCAAGAGTTAACTCTTAAGCAAATTTTAGAATTTGACCTGTTAAGAAGAGACTCTTAGTCTCATCTTTACCATTTTGAAAGCAAGTCCCTTCCTGGAGACCTAAGTTTTTGAAAACCTTGATGCTGTTTTACTTAAAAAAAAAAATACTAGCAAATAGAGGGCAGGGTCTATTGGCTCAGTGGGGCGCCAGCCCCAAATACTGAGGGTGGCGGGTTTGAACCCAGCCCTGGTCAAACAGCTACAAAAAAATAGCTGGGCGTTGTGGCAGACGCCTGTGGTCCCAGCTACTCGGGAGGCTGAGGCAAGAGAATCGCCTAAGCCCAAGAGCTGGAGGTTGCTGTGAGCTGTTATGCCACAGCACTCTACTGAGGGCAACAAAGTGAGATTCTGTCTCTAAAAAAACAAACAAAAGTTGCAAGTAGGAAGAAACTAAGAAATTGAAGTATTATTGTCAAAACATGTAATAGAAACTTTTGTGTCTTACAGCATTTATTTGAATTTTTGTGGCTTTTTCTCTTTGTACATTGTGCTTCTGTTTTTCCCCAATAAAACTTTGCTTTATAGGGCAGTGCCCTTAGTGGGTAGGTATTAAGGCTGGAGGGTTTGAATCCGGCCCAGGCCTGCTAAAGTTATGACAACTACAACAACAAGAAAAAAATAGCCGGGCATTGTGAGCACCTGTAGTCCCAGCTACTTGGGAGGCTAAGGCAAGAGAATCACTTGAGCCCAAGAGTTTGAGGTTGCTGTGAGCTGTGATGCCACAGTACTTTACCCAGGATGACAGCTTGAGACTCTTGTCTCTAAAAAAAAAGACTTTGCTTTATAAAAAAAAAAACCAGAAGTTGCTAGAAATAATAGATTTCATTCATCAAATTACAAACATTATTCCATAGCATATAAGGATATCAACTGTGTATTATACTTAAATCGTGTCTTTAGTAGGTTCATAAGTACTTTGTTATAAAAGGTATGAATATATGGTTCTAATGCTTATGTAAAATGTTGAATGTAGGGATATTCAGTGATAGCTAGTATGCTAGAAACCAGTTTAAACATGAAATAAGTAATTTACTTTGTTTTTCATTTTTTAAGGGACCAGTTATTCTCCACAAGAAAATTCACATAACCACAGTGCTCTTCATAGTTCAAATTCACATTCTTCTAATCCAAGCAATAATCCAAGCAAAACTTCAGATGCAGTAAGTATTACAAACATGCCCAGTTTGGATTTTTTTAGGATTGATTGCAAAAGAAAAATCTATTGGCATGTCTTATTCAATCTAATGCGTTTTAATTGTTTTAAAATGTTTCAGTCACAGTTGACCTTTTCTTAATGTGTTTATTTAATACTATAACAATCCTATTTTAGCCTATTGAGTCAAACTTACTAGTGGAACTGAGCATAATAAGAAGATACCATCTTCGTAATTTCTTCAGCATACCAAGATCTTAACACTTGTGATGTGTGGGATATAAAGAACTTAAGCCTAAAGCTTCTATAAAGTGATTTAAATTAAGATTGCTTTCTTTTCATAAAATATAAATTTCTTATATGTATATCTGTTATGTTCTGTATACCCTGTCAGATACTAAGTATATAAAGATCTCTATCCCTAAGAGCATGAAATCCAATGAGAGGTTTTAAATATTTTCAAAAGTTTAGGTTAATGAAGTAATTGTTATTTAATTCGAATTTGTTAAAGTCACAGATTGAAATGAAATTTTGAATTCATTCTGCAATAAGGTAATAAGGTTTCAATTTACCAGGTATCTGCTAGCTTGTATTTATACAGGGTGGATGCACAGTTTGTGTGCAGTTTACTTGGCTAAACTATTTTAAATTGCATATGAACTTTATGTCCACCTTGTATAGAGAACTAAGATAATGTGGACCATCTTTAAACGAGCTTTGTGGTGGAGACTGAAAAGTAAACAGTTAACACAGTGCATGTTAAAGTTGCTTTGGGGAGCATTTAACACAGTGACTTTCCCCTTGGATGAGAAAGATATTAAGGTATGAGTAAGGCTTCCCCACAACTTATGTAACTTCAGTCAAAGAAGTCTGAACTTTGTATAGTGTACAGAGGAATAATGCTTAAAAGGTGTAGAAGTGTGAAATAGCATAGCATATTTGAGAACTGTAAGGATTTTGTTACTGTAGAAAAATGACAGGAGCTAAAGGTACAGAGATACATAGGGCCCAGATCAGAAAAGCTTGTATGATGAAACATATAATCAGTAAAGTAACGTATTTACAATTTTAAAAATTAGGTATCAAAATATATTATAACAAAGAAGAAGAATTAGAAGGCTGTCGACATTTTTGCCTTGGATATTTGGGGTAATGATCATACCTTTTCATGAAAAGACCTTCAAGTTTTATTTATTTTACTCTGTCTCATTGAAGCAGTGTGGATAGTAAATTTTCCATAGAAAATTGGGACGTTAATTATCATATAGAAAAACAAATCATAGTAGCCATTTTAACAGAATTTAATATGGGATTAGGTAAGTAGATCTTCATGTATTGACTGAAAGGAAATACACATAAGGAACCCTGAGGTTCCTGATACTATGGTAGTCACCTTTCAGGGCCATGAAACAGTAGGAAGAATTTGGGGTTATCTGAACTTAGTATCTTGGTGGGGAGATCTCCACAAAGGTGGTGGTAGTCCTTTTTTTTTTTTTTTAATTTAAATTAAGATAGAGTCTTACTTTGTCACCCTTTTGAGGGTGTGGTAAAGCTGTTCTGCTGGCAAGGTGGTGGAAAGGTGGACACAGGAAATAACTGTGGCTGCTAGGTTTTTCCTTTGAGCTGCCTTTCTGTCATCTTCCAGTACTTAAAACAGGAAGCTGGCTAAATAGAGGGTAATTTGGGTGTCACAGCCCTAGTATCCCAGCTCAAGGACTGTGGAAAGGTGGAATTGGGCTGAGAAAACAGCTTGATAAACCTTCACAGGTATTACCAAACTACTTGTGATTTGTCATTTTCTATGAGATATACATGGAAGATTTTAGAATGAAACTACTCTTTTTGCAGAAAAACTAATTTGCAAAGTAACACTAACCTAAAGTTCTTTTATCAGTGACAGCTCATGTGGACATTGTTTTAATGTTATTTTAAAAAAAAAGTACGGAAAACAAATTATAGTATTTGCATTTTTGAGAAATGAATTAACCTAGTGAAATCAGCAAGAATAAATAATCGGAGTCAGGTATGCTTAAAAGAGTCAAACCATAGGGTTGTCAGGGAGTTTAATTAGATGAGTGGAAGTTAAACACTGTTTGTTCACTAGAATATATTAAACACTGTGTGTTTTCTTTAGAATCAAGTTCCCTCTTCTGTAGATTTCAACTGTAGATACATTATTAACCTCCATGTTTGGCCTTTTGCATTATATAATATACCCAGCAGGCATAACACAAAATTGCATTTACAAACTGAGTCACTTTTGAGGGAAGTTTTTGAGTGATTAATAAAACATAATCCTTCAGTATTTTCATAATGGAAGAATAATGATTGAATGGTGCCTGTGGCTCAAAAGGGTAAGGCGCTGGCCCCATATGCCAGAGGTGGCGGGTTCAAACCCAGCCCTGGCCAAAAATGAGAAATACTAGGTTACCCAGGTTAACACATTGTTTTAACCCAGGTAAAGGATGCAATAGCTCAGCGGCGCCTGTGACTCAAAAGGGTACAGCACTGGCTCCTAATGACGGAGGTATCAGGTTCAAAACCCAGCCCCAGCCCAAAAAAAAAAAAAAAAAAGATGGAATAGCTAAAAAAGAAAAGTTGAGTATTTCTCTGTAAAGATTTTAAGTTTTAAATCTGTCTTTAAAAATCAGTAACAGTATTTAATCTACACAGACATTATTTTTTTTCAGGATGAGATTGATATTAACATGTAATTAATTCCTTGCTAAGTCCAAAGACAAACTTTATTGTGGTATGTTTGGCACAGAGCTTGGCTAATGGTAAATAATTAAGAAAAGCTTTTGAATGCTTCCTTCCTAATAAAAATCATGATGGAACTTACAGACATGTAGACTGTTATAAATTAGTTATGTATATTTGATTTTTTTTTTTTAAAGTGGGCTTTGGATTTCTTTGGGAAAAAAGTTCATATTTAAAAGCACTGTAATATCTTACCTTCTGAGTTTTATGTGTCAATCTTAATTTGCTAGGAATTCTTAAATTCAGTCTGAGTTTGTATTCATATTCCAGTTTCTCTTGTTAATACCTAAGTATCCTTTGCATATTTTGGGAGTTGGAGTCTCATTGATACTTGCCACATTAAGAATTTTAAATGAGAAAATACTTCATTCACTTAAAATACTAATTCAAAGCTCATTACATTGTAATACATAATGTGTCTTTATGAAAAGTAACTATTTTCTGAAACAAAATAGGCTTTGAACATCTTCTTAATGCCCAACTTAGAAGACACCTAACATTTAACATCTTTTTCATTCAGTCTTTTATGATGTCGAATATTTTGTTTAGCCTCTGGGGTAAACTGCACTGTTTGCTTATGATAGAAAAAGGAAGAAAAAGACAAAATCATCTCAATGTTATTATGAAAATAATTTGATCTCGTGAAAGGATCTTGGGGTTTCCTGGATAACATTTGGAGGACTGCTTTAGAACAGAGGATGGCTACCATCTCAAGCCTAATTTAGGAAAAAGGTCTTTATAGGCATATTGTTTAAATTTAGTTCTCAATCTTGGTATTCTCTTTGTAATGTCAAGAAATTTGATACTTGCCATCGCATATCAGCATTTAAAAAATTTATCCCATAACTTGAAGGATTTTCCTTTTTTCTTTTTTTCAATCTCTAGAGGGTGGTGGTGAGATGGAGAAGATAAGGTTAATTTAATGGTATGTGATCATAATGATGGCCCTGGAACATATTTTAAATGTAAGACATTAGCTTCCAACAATCTAGGATTTCATAGGCAAAAAAATCAGTTAGTGTGGTAGGCCATCCTCTTCAGGGTTCTGTCTGTGAACTTTTTTTTTTTCTTTTCTTTTTTTTTTTTTTTTAATTGAATGGTAACTGTGTACATTGATGCACTTTGGGGGTACAGTGTGTTGTTTTCATACACAATCCAAGCTGTCTGTGAACTTTTAACTGTCCTGGAGGTTGTGCCAAGAGGTAAATTAACTGCTCTTTTCAACAATAATTTATTTAGTTCCTCTGAATTGGTTCTTTTTTGTCTTTCTGATCTTTTTGTTCATTCTTTTTGTTTCTTTCCTTTTCTTTATTCATTTCTTTACTTTTAGAGGTAGTCACCCAGGCTACTAGGGTTCCAGATGTGAGCCACCATGCCAGCTTTAAAATTTTTTTTCTTTTCTTAAAGCAACAGTTGAGGTGAAAGAAGCCGCATGTTTAAATATTTCAATGCAAACTCTTTTATCTCCTTCAGGTTGGGTTGGTTTATCTCCATTACTGTGTCATTGGTCTAGACCATACTGACCTATTCTAGTGTCCTCTCTCTGCTAGTATCAATCTTATTCTATTTCTCTGATCAATCTAGAAATTCCTATATCCTCCTGGCAATTAAACCAAGCCTTCTGGATAACGTCCATAGACAAGATCATTTTGCATAGTAATTGAGGTATAGGGAGGGGTGGGTGATGAAGAACTTTCTGAATTTTCCCTTTGTGGCTGGATTCCTAAGGCATGGTTTATAGCTTGATTCTGGAAGCTAGAGGGATTGGGACTTAATTCTCCACTGTTTTAGAGGTTTGGAGGCATGAGACTACTTTACTTTTGTGATCTGTGGACAACTTGTAAGTTCTCTCAGCTTGTTTCCTAATTGATGAAGCTGAAGAAGAGCAAGGTGGTGAATAAAACTTACTTCCTCTTAAAAATTGTGCCACTCTACACTGTAGTGAACCCAGGATAGGCTGCCATAATACAGTATGGTACTTCATTTTATTTTTCTCAAGTGGTTTAATTTAATCTTTTAAAATAACATTTTTAATATTTTAATGGACACACAGTTATACATATTTATAGAGTACAGAAAATGTGTTCAGTGTTAAAATCAGGGTAATCAGGTTGGTGCAAAAGTAACTTGTGATTTTTCCATTGTTGAAATTTGCCATTTGATATTGGAATACATTCTTAAATAAATGTGGTTATGTTATACATTCTTTTTTTTTAATTTTTTTTTTTTTTTTTTT